TCCTCTCCATGGTTTCCCACCGTCTTCCCTGTAGGTGTCTCTATATATATTAGTTCTGGGGACTGAATCCAGAGCCTCATGCATTTTAGCAAACCCAGGGTGATCCCTCCCAGGAATCTGTATGGGGCAAAGTCTGGGGAAAACTAAACCCCATAGGGCCACACTCCCTCACAATGTTCCCGAGGTCCATGTGAGGCCCCCTCCCACTCAGCTCCTCCTCTCTGTGCCAGGCGACGTACCTGTTAGAAAGAATCTGACTCCCCTCATTGTGTTTTTAAAATAACTCTCATTATTCCTCCCCTGAAGGTTATTTTCAAACTCTTTATAAAGTTTTTTTTTTTTTTTTTTTGATGAAAAGACAAGGAATCAAACCCGCTGACTTTCTATAGGAGAAACTCAGGTTGTTAACTTTTAAAATGGGGTTCTATTTCTTCTCCCATACACGGACCCTCTGTTTCCATGAAATGCTGTTATTTTATTTAAGGAGAATTTATAAATGAATACAGCCTTTCATCAGAAGCTAACACGGGCCAGGGGAATCTTGGACTTTGACATTTGAGAATCAAGCAGTTCTTGGAGTACTGTATGCATCAGAGGCTCTCAGCCGAGAACTCTGGAAAGAGTCATTTCTGCAGCCCTGGGATTTATGTGGCTCCTCGGTTCCCTGGCCACCCCTAGGGGCAGTGGCCACCTCCCAGCCCCCTCTCTAATATCCTGCTGGGTTTGTCTTTGTGTCCCTCTCTTCTGCCGACCCCATGGCTGACCCTTGGCCTGAGACTCAGCCAAGCACTGACCTTGCTGAAGGCAAGGACTGTGTAGCTTCTAGTGGAGCTGAAATGAGCACTTCCTGTTCCAGACTATTCTGTGTGCCCAGAAAGTGTCCATGCGGAGAAAGCACACAGTCTGTCTTGCCCAAGAAGTCGCTGCTGCTGCTGCTGCTGGTTGCTTGCGGGCTGAGCTGCTGGCCCTGGGCCCGGGAGCAGCCTCTGTGATGCACCTGAGCTCAGCCTGTCCCTTGAGATTGTGATTCCACTGCAGATGCTGGGTTTGCAATAAAGGCTGAAACAGGAAATCCCACCATTTAATGTTGGATTAGGACATTACCCACACGTCATAGCAAGTGGGGAGCCTTTTGACCTGAGGAGCAGACTAGTGAGTAGGAGGTAGCAGGGAGAATTTTCCAATTCAGTGTTTCCCTGAATGACCATTCCCTCAAATATAGCTGGTCGCTCGCTCCTTTTTAATTTAAATTTTATTTTCATATGGCAAGACCGCTTTCCCTGTGGTCCACCCTTTTAACAATTTCACAGCGTATAGTACAGTATTGTTACTTGCAAGTACAATATTATACAGCAGATCTCTAGAATTTATTCATCTTAACTAAATTTTTATACCTATCGATTAACAAGAACTCATTCCTGCTTCTCCCACCTCCTAGCAAGCATCACTCCACTCTTCAGTTCGTGAATTTGCCTACTTACGAGACCTCACAAAGTGGAATCAAGAAGTATTGGTCCTCTGTGTGTAGCTCACTTCGCTTGCTATAACGACTTCACGATTCATGCACACTGCAGAATTTCCTTCCTGTATGTCTGCACCGCGTACATTTTCTTTTTCTGTTCGTTGGTTGATAGACACTTGGGTTGTTTCCACATCTTGGCTATTGTGATTAATGTTGCGATGCATGTGGGAGTACAGACACTTCTTCCTGATCCTTTCAGTTCTTTTGGAGGTACAGCCGGAGATGGGGTTGCTGAATCGTATGGTGGGTCTCTTTTTATGACTTTTGAGGAATAGCGACGCTGTTTGGCGGCACCATTTTCTACTCCTGTGTACATTAGGGAGGCTTGTCTCAGCCTCCCCTTCTGCCTCTTATGCAGTAAGTACCTTCCCTTTGGGGGTACCTTTCTTGGTGTACAAGGTATGATCAAAATGTACAGCGAATGTTTAAGTTAAAAAGTCATTACGGTAAAAGACGCATTGCCACCAGGCACTCTCAGAATACTCCCCTTCATTTTAAACACACTGATCCCTTCGTTCTGCTGCTTTCTGAAGCAGTTCTGGAAATCCTCTTTCATGAGTGTCTGCACAAGGTGTGTTCAACAGGTACGGTGAATACTCCCGCTGAGTGTGATCTAATGGAAAGGCAGGGTCCTAAAAACATTACAGTATATCTTCACCCACCTTACTCACTGGATCTAGAACCGCAAAACTTCGGGCTGTGCTCCAGAGTCAATATGGGAAGGGGACCAAGAGATGGAGTAGGGGTTTGGTTTTTGCTTGTTTGTTTGTTTTTTTGTTTTTTGAGACAGGGTCTCACTACGTAGATGACACTGATCTGGAACTCACTATGTAGCCAGGCTGGTCTCGAACTCACAGCGATCCTCCTGCCTCAGCCTCCTGAGTGCTGGGATTACAGGCATGCATCACCATGCCCAGCGGGGCAGGCAGAATTGTTCTACTTTAAGTAATGTTTTGAAATTTTTATTGTGCCTTATTTACAAATTAGTTCATCATAGGGTATGTATGGACAGGAAAAAACTGTTACCCATAGAAGGTTTGGTGTGTTCATAGTTCCAGGCATCCCCTGGAGTCTGAGAATGAACCCCCGTGGTTGGAGGGACACTGACTACGTAGTGAGCCTTAGGGGACTACAGGGACCACAGCAGCTTCTTGGTGGCCTCCCAGAGCTGCTCAGAATGTATCTGGTAGTTGTAGAATTGCTTGTCCATTGGTGAGCACTGCTGGGACGAGAGCGTGGGTAGACAGCTTCCCCAGTGGTGGGGCTTTGCTGGGGGGAGGGGAGCACTTGGATCCTTTGCACAAGGCTTCATCAACAGCAGTCCCAAACCAAATAGAAGAGAAATGCTCAAGTTAATTTTTAAAAAGAGAGTGAAATATCCATTTTGTTTTGAAATATCCTCCAGTTGATTTTTTTTCCATTTGATGTTTTCAAGTGGTTTTTTTTTTCTTTTTAGACAAAGTATCACTTTGTTGCCCAGGTTGTACTCAAATACTTGGGCTCGAGATCTTCCTGCCTCAGCTTCCGTAGTAGCTGGAACTGATAGGTGTGTACTATCACGCCTGGTTGGAAAACTTTTTAAAATTCAAAAATTGAAAAATGACTCCAAAGATAATTAGAGCCTGGCCGCTGTCTCCCTGCACAATGTATTGGATCTTCTGTGGGAAACTTACCGATTCTCTTTGGCTTGCACACTTTCTTGGATATTCATGACTCTCACTCAAGTCGCCAATCCTTTTGTCTCTGAACTTGGGGCAGGCATTGCTGGTCACCTGCCAGGCACTGTAGGTGTCTCAGCATCCCTGTAGAGCCCACATGGTAAGTCAGAAGTGCATACTTCTAGAAGGTGCATTCTCTTTTTCTTTCTTCTTTTTTTCCCCAGTGCCTTGGGCCTGGGGCACATTAGGCAAGTGAAGTGCTCCACCACTGAGCCATATCCCCAGTACTTGTTTTGCTTTTTCTATTTTGATAACTCCTCCTGCTGCACCTTTGAATGTGCTGTCTCACTTTCTGTCCAGCAGAATCTTTTTATTTTTGGCTAAGGTCCACCTGCTCTTGCAAACATTCCCGTCTCTCCAAGTCAGAATGTACCTTCGAGCCCTCCCCACCCAGGAGGTGCCTGCATTGCTGAAGCGCCCATTGGCAACTTGGATCATATAAATTGTAAGGCTTGATGTTACTCTCTGCCATTTTCACTAAATCATTTGCAGGAGCGGTGAATTCTCAAGGCTCAGGAAGTCATTGCTCCTTTCCATCTTCCTGGCCACTAACTTCACTTACTTGTCCCTTCATGTACCAGCTGTTTATGGGGTATCATCTAGGGGCCAGGTAGTCTTCTAGGACTTGGAATACAGCAGGAAGCACTAACAACAAACAACAAAAATCCAGCCCTTGACGTGTTTACTTTTTAGGAATGAGGGTAAGTATGCAACAGGCGTTTTAGTAAAGAGTTAAATTACCTTGCACGTTAGAAAATGAATTCTATAGAAAAAGCAAGCTGGGGATGAGAAGCATCAACGGTGGAGTTAGGGGTTGCAGCTTTGAGCAGGACGGTCTGCAGTGCCTCCTGGGAACATCGGGAGGAGGTGAGTATGAGCCAAAGAGGACTCTTGGGAAGACGGGTTGAGGGGAGGGAGCGCCCAGTGTGAAGGCTCTCTGGCAGTCTGGGAGCACCACTGAGATGGCCAGGAGCTGCAAGGTGGCTGGGTTGGAGCGAGCCAGGAGGAGTGGCGGGGAAGCCTCGGGGCGGCAGGAGACCCAGCTGTACAGACCAGGAGGTCAGCCCTTCATTCTGCTCCAAGTGAAACGGCCCTGGCAGCTAAATAGGCAGAGGAGGTCCAGAAATGATTCTGAAAGAACTGGGAACAGACTGAGAGGCAGGGTGGCAGGGATGCAAGCCCTATCACTTCCTGCCTGGACAGTTGCAGTAACTTTAAATGGGTTGCCCCCCTCCACTTTTTTTCCTACATTGGCAAACCTTCTCACACCCTGATGTTCTTCTCTCTGTTGTGGGCACATTTCCAAAACCCTCTCCAGCGCCAGCCACTGGCGCACAGTCCACAGCCTGGGAAGGACCCACTGGAATCTGGGCTCTACCCACCGTGCCAGCGTCATCTCCCCCTGTTCCCTGTCCCTCTTACTCATGGGGCACTGTCCTCTTCCTGCATCTTCGCCTATGGTGTCTCACTTTCAGTTCAGCAAAATGCTTTTCTGTTAAGGTCCATTTGCTCTTACAAATGTGCCCAGGTGCTCTGAGTCACAATAAACCTCTGAACCCTCCCAGCTCAGAGGTGCCTGTGTCACTGAAGCACACGTGTTGCACTATGGCCTACTATTCTGTGTCCATCTTGTTCCTGCACCCGATGCGAAGCCCCTGGGTTTTCCCTTTGAGTCTTTGGATCTGGCTCAGTGCTGTGAAAAGCTCACCCAGATCCTGCAGTGGTTCCCATCAGCTGGCTTTTCCTGTTCTATTTTGCAGATTGAAGCGCTCGTGAAGGACATGCAGAACCCAGAGACTGGGGTCAAAATGCAGAACCAGAAGACCCTGGTCACCAGCGTGCCTCATGCCATGACGGGTAATGGGGCCCAGAGCTTAATCTTAGCCTGGAAAGGACCCCACTCATGGGACAGACTTGGGCCCACAGGCCAAGTTTGGCCCATGGCTGGTATTTGCAAATAAAGCAAAGTCCATCCACATCTATTATGTGGTGTTTATGGCTGCTTTTACTCTACAGTGGTAGAGTGAAAATATATAGCTGTGCAGAGACTGAATTGTAGCTCACAAAGCTGAAATTTTTACAGTCTGGCCCTTTATAGAATGTGTTTGCTGGATCCTGAACTAGTTTTCTTCCAAGGGAAGGAGTAAGAAAAAAGAGGAGAAAGGGATTCTATAGTTCATTTCTCCCAGGAGGTTATTTTAGGTATCTTACTGTTTTTTTTTTGTTTTGTTTTGTTTTTTGTTTTTTTTTTTTTAACAAAGTGAGCTATCAGGGGGAAAGTGATTGGCAGGAAAGGAAATTGGCATTTGTCTCATTCTACCCTTCCTTACCTTCTAGTTCGTACCTGGGACTTCTGACCCACCCCTGGGGGTGAAGCCACTGGGGTCCTCTTAGTGTGGGTTGAAGGTGTGCAGAGCATCCTTTGAGGATATTGGGGAGGGGAAGGGCTGGGCACCCACAGAAGAAGAAGGCATTGTGCTTGCAGTGTTACCCATACTTTATGACCTTGGATTTACGGTAAAGAGTATGTTTTGCTCCGAGGTCAGTGGCCTGCAGAAGCAGATGGCTTCCCTGAGCTCAAGCTCAGGACTGGTGCCCATGCTTTGTTCACTATGAGCCCTCACCCTCCATCCTGCCGTGGCCTGACTCCGGGGCCCTGGTCACGGAGAGCCCTGCCATCTCTCAGCCTCCCTTTCCCCGATAGCTTGGGAGATGGGGCTCCCCCACCAGCAGGGTCACGCAGGTGTCGTGGAGGGCAAACCAACTCTGGCTTTTGGGGGAATAAGGGTTATTAATGGGAATGCTGCGGGGAATCTCAGGGAAGAGAATGGAATATCGGGAAAAGTAGGCATCAAAAAGCAGGGGCCGATGAGCAACCTTTTCAGGGTGTTTCTGTTCTTTCCCATCAGTGAAGAGGCAACTGTGGGAATTCTTGAAAGCATCTCTGACTCCCACCCCACCTTGCACTTATATGAATAATTCCTGGCTTGAATTAATTAATTCTGAACTAGGGAGCCCTTTGAGGGGAAATAGCTGTCTTGCTCATCCGGGTAACCCCAGGGTTTAGCATGGCTGGATGCATAGGGGCGGATGCCAAAAGTTTATTAAGTTGTGTGAGTCAGCCCTGGCCTAGACTGTGCAGAGAACAGGGGACACTGAGTCGGGCACCCTAAGGCTCGGTCCTCCAGCCGCCCCTTTCTTGCTGGGTAGCCCTGGCCTGAGTTTTCTCATTTTATTCCTGTCTGGGAGAAATATTGCAGGGATGCCACGAGCATGCGACACAAGGGCCAGCATGCAGCAGAAGCTCCAGGGGTGGCGATGACTGGCCCCTTCCCTGTGCTGTCTCTTCAGCAACCACTATCCAGTTAGGGTAGATGTAACCACTCCTTATTTGCTGATGGGGCTGTGGAGACACCAGAAGGTTCAGGAACTTGTCCCCATGTCCCGAAGCTCATTCACGAGGGAGCTTGGATTTGAGCAAAGCTCTGTGACTCCGGAGTCCATCTTATCTGCTGCCAGGGTGTGCCAGCTGCTCTCCCACCTTGTTCATGGGGTGTACTTGGTTTCTGGATTTGGGGGCGGTTGCTCGCCCTGCTGTGTTTCCCCTTATTCCTTCTCTGTGGGTGAATTCCAGCCACTGTAGAAGCAGAACCCGGGGGGCGGGGGGACCTTGGACAGTGCCAGTGACAGCAAGGGCCACCCGCCTTCTCAGGTGTCAGCTGGCCCAGGGCTCCCTGCAATGAAGGTGGCTAACGCGGGAGCCTGAGCAGCTTGCCACGCTGGCAGCATAGAGCGCGTGGGACTGATGTCGGTGCCAGTGGCACCATAATCTCATCTGGTCTATTTCAGGAAACAGTCATGTGGATGAGAAAACCCTCAGCTTCTTGGAGTAGCTTTTAAAGAGAGACTTGGGGTGGGATGTTTACATCTGCAGGCAGTAGGATTTTTTGGATAGAGAATTTTGCTTTTTTACATTGAGGATATGTAAAAACAGGGGTGATTCAAAGATAAGAGCCACAGAATGAAAACCACTGAATGCAATAGTGGTGGCACATGGGCACTGACAGAGACAATGGTGGAGCGTTTGGGTCTCAGGGTGTGGACACGAAGGGGAGAGACAGAAGTTGTCCACATCTAGCCATAGCTGTGGGCTGGTGACTAATCCCAGGGATGTGAGGGGATCATACTGGGTTGGGCGCTTGACTCTGGGTGTCTCGTCTTTCCTCTGAGATGCCAATGCCTTTCACCTACAAGGAGCACCTGCTGCTCACAAGGCCAGACGGCCAGGCTGAGAATGAGTCTGAAAGGCTCCACGGGGTCTTGCAGCAGCTCTGGACCTGCGGATGGTGCTTAGCTGGCTTTGGCCCTTGGGTAAATCTGTGTCCTCGAGAGTGAGTGAAGGGTGTGCGTTCTTTCCTGACCCCCCCTGCCCGTCTCTCCTGCCACTTTTCCCTCTACGATGCTCTCAGACCAACCCCTAAGATTTGCCAGGCTCCACAAGAGTACAAACAGAGCCTGAGTTACGCTGTCCAAAGTTATCAATCAGCTGACAACACATTACTAAAAGAGTCCTCCTCCTACTCTGAAAAGAACCTTCACAACAACCTGAAGACCAGTTTCAGATTTAGAATTCTCTGGCTCTTCAGAGCTCTACCCGGGAGCCTGACGTGTGGGAGGCCAGCCCTGCCCTCAGTTCCACCTTCTCTTCTCCCTGGATCTGTTTTATTCCAACGAAGCGATCCAGAGCCCAGCAAGCAGCTGGCCTGCATTCTGTTTCGTTTGTCAGTGTTTATACTCAGTCTGTTTAGTGCCTGGTTTATGAATGGTGCTCCGTGCATACATTATTATACGGTGAAAGGTTAAGTGCAACAAAAATGTTAAAAATTGAGTGGTGGAGGGGAAATTAAACTGCAAATCTGCTGAATCAGACAGTGCATGGCCCTGAGTTGTGGTTGCAGTGTTTGGGGTGAACTTCTAAGTGAGGTGGGGAACCTCTGAAGACTGAATAGGCGAGGGACAAAAGTACTCACAAGCTGAGGGGCGAGAAGACCAGTCAGGCACCTGTGTGAAGGAGGCAGGGCGGTCCAGACACAGGGGGCTGTGACGATGACCAGGTACTTATCTGTTTCGTAGGAGGTGATGTTCTACAGTGGATCGTTCAGCGGCTTTGGATCTCCAGTCTGGGTGAGGATTCATCCCGCATTTGGTTATGGCCTCCTGCCATGTGTTCAACATCCCAGGAAAAACTAAAAGGAGGCTCCACCTCTGACTCTAAGGCAGAACCTTCATGCATGAAACAACCAGACTCAAAGGCAAAGGCGTGATAATCTGGAGACAAATAGTTATTTTATATAAAATATTGAAGGCACATAAACTATAGGAAATTGAGAAAGATTCCAGCAAGAAAGACTTCTCAGAAGGGTGCAGCATATATCTAGTCTGGAAAAAAGTAATATTTTTGAATTACTAAAGGGGAGGATGGAGGGCTTTTCCAGAAGGGGAGACTAACAAAAGCAAAGGTGTGAGAACCGAGTGAATGGGGGGTAGAGGGTAGTGAGGGTAGCAGTGGGTCGAGGTATCTGTCTGCAGATTCATAAGAGAAATCTTGGGGAACTTTTGAGGCTGGCTGTATGGCTGATAACGTGTATTTAAACCACGATGATGGGTAGCAACTTGAAGAATGGGTCAGAGTGCAAAGAGCAGACGTCACGCTAGGAAAAGGGCCGTTGATACAACAAGGCGTGAAAACTGAGGGTCTGGTTAGTTTTTATGGAGAGCGTAGAGCTTGCAGAGAGAAGTGAATATTGAGGAGGAATTCGTCCCAAGCCTTGGAGGATGGGATGGGATGTGGGTTGGAGCCCTGGACAGAGTGGCCTGGAAGATGAAAAGTGCGTGCTTCCGTTGGTGCTTCTGAGACAATAAAGAAGGTTTCCCTTTAATTGTTCTGAATCCAGAAACAAGGCTTTACTTTCAAACAAACTGCGGAGTGAGGTGGGAATTAAAGTGTGGTGGGGAGGAGTGGGAGGATCTGAACACAGGCAGAGTTGTGCTTGAGGTAGCTGGCGGTAAACGTGGCCACCCTTCTCTTTTTTTTTTTCTTTGAGAGAGGAAGCATCTGTTGGTCAAGCAGAGACATTTTCTTGCCACTCTTGTGGTCTTTTCTAGATCCAGATTTGATCTCCAGGGCTTCCCTGATCATCACCCCCAGGTCACCTGTAGTGGGCCACGCGTGGTACCTGCTAGCACGGAGATTCACTGGTTCCCATCTAGGCTTCCCGGGCTGTCACTGCTGGGGAAGGGCAGGGGCATCACCCTTGGGCACGCTTCCCAGCTGATGCTTGTTCACAGCCATGGTAAGGATCCACCGTCCCGCTCCTCAGAGAAGGAGACACCCTTCTGGAGCTGGAGCTGCTGTGTGGGCCAGGAAGTGAGCTTTCCCCTTCAGCTCCTGCTCTTACCATCTGTGTCTGAATGCTTCTCCCCAGAGGCACAGAACCTGGGCAATTTCATTGTCAAGTATGGCTACATTTACCCTCTACAAGACCCGAAGAATCTTGTTCTCAAGCCCGACAGTAGCCTCTACAGATTTCAGGTGAGTTTTGACCTTGACTTTGGGCGTTCATGTGGGCTGGATCTTATTTGAAAAGATGTTTGGTTGGCCTCATATTCTCACAGATCAGGAATTTGGAAATGGTGGAAGGAACTAAGGTGGCTTGATCTCTTCTGTCCCAAGGCTGGGAGTCCCTGGGGGTCACACTCCAGCGGTTAAGTACATTCTCCTTGGTTTCTTTTTTAGACACCATATTTCTGGCCTACCCAGCAGTGGCCAGCTGAAGATACAGACTACGGTAACTACTTCACTCCCACCTATGGCTTTGGTCTTGGCATGCTGCTTATTTACTTGCTGTTTTGGTGACATTTGTCTTACTGTCATCACGACCTTTATGTCAGCTCACATCTGTATTGGGGGTGTTCCCTGGGGGCCGGGACAGGGTCTGCCAAGCATCCCATTTGGCACTGGGAGCAGGGCAGCCTCATGCAGAGAGAGGCTGCTGAGGGGGCTTGAAACATGGTGGTGATGGAAATGCCATGGTTTTCTTTTCCAGCCATCTATCTGGCCAAGAGAAATATCAAGAAGAAAGGAATTTTAGAAGAATATGAAAAGGTACAGAGATGTTTTCAAATAGAACTTATTATAGTTGGGTGCAACATGATGATGAGGGGTGGTCTTTCTCTCTTTCTCACATTATTACATTTATCTGTACCCTCATCCATCCATCCTTCCATTTGGGCACCTATCCATCCATTTATTTATTTAGAAATGGCTCACAGGAGTAGCTTTTCTTCGCTGTGTTTAGCTCCAGTGTCCTCTGCTGTAATTTAGGTCCTTATCAGTAGCTGTTGGTCACACAAGGACTACCTCATTCTCTTTACTGTCCCAAAACAATCTGACTTAGTATATGTGATAACAGACAACACTTGATTAGCATACTTGCACTTAAGTTTATGGCATGAAAACAATAGTATAGACTTTTGTTTTAGGCTGAATGAGTCATATTTCCCCAGAGAATGCACCCTAACCGTCAAAAGGCTAACATTTCTGAAGAAGGCCGCGATCTGTCTGTGTTTTAACTCCTTAGAAACATGTTTTTAGAGCCATGTATGACAGTGTGTGCATATAATCTCAGCTGTTCAGGAGGCTGAGACAGGATGACAAGTTCGAGGCCAGCCTAGGCAACTTAGTGAGACCTTATCTGAAGCAAAAGGATGGATGGAGGTATAGTTCAGAGATGGAGAGTCTGTCTAGCATGCATGAACTCCAAGGTTCAATCTCCAGTAATACACACACACACACACAAAGAAAAGAAACATGGTTTTAGAAGGGCACATATCACATTAATGTATCAATGTTCAGGCTTATCTCTGTGGCTTTTTTTTTTTTTTGAGTCAGAGTCTCACTGTGTAGTTCAGACTGGCTTTGAACTCACTATGTAGCCCAGGCTGGCTTCAAACTCAGAGTGACCCTCCTGCCTCTGCCTCTTGGGTGCAGGCATGCACCGCCATGCCCAGCCTCTTTGTGGATTTTTATGTGATTTGAAGAGAAACTAGAATATTCTTTGTGGTTTTTTGATGTTCTATTGTTGAATATTGAGTTTCCATATTTTCCCCCTCTGCAGTCCTCTCTTCCTAATCTGATGTGGGGTACATTTATTTTAAACAGAATAAACCAAGAAAATTAAGACTCACTGAAAAAGCTTTAGAGAATTCCATGCTGCCCCCAGAGCGAACCTTTGGACAATGGGGCAGAGGTGACTGGGATGTCTCTGCCGCGTAGGGAGCCAGGGATGTGTCCTTGTTGGCTTGGAGCGTTGTGCTCAGATGCACACGTCCTATAACATGGACTTATGTCCTCATTTTGTTTTCTTTCTCTAGGAAAATTATAATTTCTTGAACAAAAAGATTAACTACAAGTGGGACTTTGTCATTATGCAGGCCAAAGAGCAGTACAGGTGAGTGAAAGGAGGGCACACCTGCTCTCTGGTCCTCCCTCCCTCCTTCCTTCCCTCCTTCTTTGTTTCCTTTTAATTAACATAAACCTCTGTTGGTCATTTAAGTGCCAACACAAGGCAAGGCAGGCAGAATGAAAGGACGCAGTCCAGTGTGTTAGGCGGATGGGGGATGGGCTGTGCTGCTGCTACGGTGTGAGCTAAGGGCCACATGGCAAGGGTTTGCAGAGCGCGCTGCAGAAATGACCTTGAACCTGGCAGCTGTGTAGGAAGCATCCAGGAGAAGGATGTGGGTGGTGGCTAGAAAGGAGAGGGGGCGGGAGGAAGGGTGTTCTAAGTAGAAGGAACCAGAAGAGTGTGGAGCCAGCAGAGTGCCTGCCACAAGCAGTTCCCGTGTCCGGAACAGTCAAGTACCAAAACAGAAGGTAGCAAGGTGTTCACTGGAGATGTTGAGAGAGCGGATCTCGATAGGGCTTCATGCCGAGGGCCATGTGAGCCAGAGAAGCGTCTCCTCAGATTTGCACATTGGAATCTACCACTCGCATGGACTTTCCTGTTGACTACCCCAGAATCAGACCTGAAACTCCTCTGAAGGGCTCTCCCTCACCCATGAGAGCCAGATGCAAATGCCGCAGATGGTGAGCGATGGAGAGAGGGTGCTAAGTCAGTTTGAGGCTGAGCTGTCACAGCCAGCGTACTTCAATGCTCAGGTGCCTTTGTGAGTCAGAGCCACACCTGTCACCGGCACTCACAGTTCATTTGGCGGAGCGGGTCATATGGTTATGTTCAACTTCAGAAGGCAGTGAGTGGAGCCGTCCATCCCTTCCAGGTGACCTCCACTAGTGATGATCAAAACAGGTGATTCCAGCTGGCCCAGCCTCCTCATCCTAACAAGTGCAGACCTGGAATGGCTGGCTGCATGGTAGAGACCTGTAGTGTGGTATTGTCCTGATGCAGCCCTGCGGTGGGAGAAGTGATGAGCGGTGTTAGACCCAAGTGCAGGAAAAATAAGCTGGCAGCATGGCTTTATTCCCCCAGGGCATTAATGGGAGAGCTGTTGCTGTTGTTTAGCCATGAATGTGTCTCTCGCTGGGCACATTTGAGACAAAGCAGCATGGGGTAGCTATCTAATCTGTCATCACTTGTATTTGGCTACAAAGCTTCATTCAGTGAGTTTTTGGGGTGGTCTCATTCTATGCGGGTGTGGAAGGAATGCTTAGGGTGGCAGTGATGGCCATTTCCATGGCAGAGTGATTAAGATTACTTGGCTAACACTGGAATATCTTAACTCCACGTAGGGCACTTGTGTTGCATTCCTAGTGGCTTCCAGCACTGGGCTGGATCTTAGGGACACAAAAGATGTGCTCGTTTCTCCTGCTCCTCCAGGTCCTTCGCTTCTTCTCTGCTCCGAGCAGGATGATCCCTGCCACCTACAGGCCCATGAACTCTGACATAAGCCTTCCAGGCTGCTGGAAGTCCTCTTGCAGCTCAGAGCTGTTCTCTGTGGTGCCCTCATCCTCAGGCCGTGGATAAAGCTCTGCACACCCAGGCTTGTGGGGCATTTTCCTCCTCCATTCAATTCCAGGTGCCGTAGGATGAGCCATTCCTAAAAGTCGCTCTCTTTCCAAGATGCTGGTGTTTCCCCCACTAAATCCATGGCTTGACTTGAAGGCTGCCTTTGATCTCAGATTAAGCTCTTGCCACAAAAGTGAGTGGGCCATGTGTGTCTGCCCACGAGGTCATCTTTCATTATGTGGAGCCTCCTTTTCTGAGTTCCAGACTTAGCGCCCAGCTGCCTCCTCAAGATCTCAGTCAATGTCATTCCTTAAACCTAATGTGTCCATCTTTGAATGTGTCTTTCCCTCCCTCTCCAAGCCTCCTCTGCTAACATCACCAGTTAATACAAGGGACCACCATCTGCCCCACCCTCACTGACAATGTCCAGGTATTTGGTTTCGTTGCCACCTCTTGCAGAGTCCCTTCTGCCAAGTATGACATTTGGCTACCTCCACCGCTCCCATCCTGCTGGAACCAGCCTTGAAATCCATGGCGCAGTAATGTCCTCCCACCTGCCTCTCTGCTTCTGTTTTGCTCCTGTTTTGGTAACACCGATAGGATTGTGTCACTCAACTTTCTCTAAGCTCTCAGAAAAGATGCTCCTTTCGTATGTCACTTCTTCCTAGAGGCTTTTCTGATTAGCTGGTATTGCACTCAAACCATCCTAAACTGAGTGGCTCAAAACAGTCACGATTGTTTTATTACCTGTCATGATTCTGTAGGTCTGGAACTTGGGGAGGCCTTGATCAGGCAATTCTGACTCAGAACTTCTCAAGTGGCTACAGTCAGGCTGGGGCTGGGAGCTGGGGTGGCCAGGAGTAGCAGGAATCCTCTGCCACCTTCCAGCAGCCTCTGGGCTGGCTGTGTGGTCTGGCTTGGGCTTCCTCGAAGCATGGGTGCTTGTAGGTGCCGGAGGATTGCAGAGCACAGATACCAGAGGGTAGAAGCCTGGCAGTTTCCCAGCCTCAGAAATCACACAGTGCTGTGCCTGACATACTGCGTGGGTCAGGGCCATTACCAAAACCTACCTACCTTCACGGGAGGGGACACAGACCCTTCCGATAGGTCCTCACAGTACATAATGCATCTTCCGATTTTACATTTATTGCTTGACTGCTTGTGTAACGTTTAGACCAAAAGCTATCCAGTGGCCAGGACTGTGTTCCCCAGTGTACTCCCATTAGTTGGAGCGTAGAGGAAGTTGAAGGAGTGAATGAATGAATGATTGAGTGAGCAAATGGTGGCATTAAAAACATCATAAATGACCAACTAAAATGATTCCTAGTTTACTGGCTATCTGGGTCCCATCTGTCATGATCGCCCTTCATGAGTACCCATCACAGAGAGGCAGATGTACAAACCCAGGAAGGATCCCGGGGTCAGTTAGGGACTGGCTCTATTTACAAGGCTGGTGCGGAACGTGGGAACCCTGCAGTCCCTCATCTGTTTACGGTTTGTGCTCCCGAGGACCTGAGCTCATTAACCTGGTGGAAAATCCAGTTAGGTTGTCAAGGAGAAGCAAGAGCGGCGGTGTTTATTCTTTGTTTCTAGAGGAGGTTGGCAAAACACCCTGATGGAATGGCGCCGTCCACCCATCTGGCTCTCTGGATGTTATGTTATTCACAGTACATTAACGGGGCAATAAATCCACTGACTCTGTCGTGGAGAGGGCTGGTGCGTCATCTCTTGTTGCCTGGGAAAACAAGTGCTAATAAATGTGTGTGCAGCTCGCTGCGGAAATGGGCCCGAGTGGGGCCCTAGTACGATAATTAGTGTTCCCTGGCTGCTGGAGGAGGAAGACCCAGCATCACCTCCTATCCATCTTGGGAACAGGGGAAACTGAGAAAAAAAGAGGGAAGAAGCCTTTTACAATCCTAAATTGAGTTCAGAAAAAGCCCTGCTTCGGTGTGAAGTCTTTAGAGAGAGAGAGAGAGGTGTCAGCTGACAGGTGGGGAAAGGAGAGCAGCCTGGACCAGCACGTCCCCCTCCTGAGCTCCTGTGCTGCTCACTGCCTGCCCGCCCACCCGCTAGGAGGTTGGTTATGTCATCACCAAAGCAGGAAACGGCAAGAGACAAGGGTCAAATGTCGGCCAAGCTAGTCCCGCTAGCTCCCATGGGGAACTGCCAAAGCTGATTCCGTTCTAGGGCTAGTCTCGGCAGTGTGGTCATGGTGGTGCGATGCTGTCTGGGAGAGCAGGCCCTAGGGTCCAGCATCTGGGGTTCAAGCCTCGCTTCCGTCTCACGCTGGCTGTGTGGACCCAGCAGGGGATTTCTCCCTTCTTTCTTCAGTTTCCTGAACTGTGAAGCCAGAAAAGGCCACTGGGAAGATGAACCAGGATCAAACAAGTTAATACATGTAGAGTAGCCAGAATGGTACCTAATGTTTAAGTGTGGTGTTGATATTTGCTGGTTATTTTTGCGGCACATGTGAATTAACTGGGCATGTGGGGAGACTGGTCCAGGTCATCAAGAAAGGGGATCATCCTGGACCAAAAGATGTGAAATATCACCATCCTTGAGCATGGATTTTGGTTTTTCAGGACTGGCAAAGAAAGGAACAAGGCTGACAGGTATGCGCTGGACTGCCAGGAGAAGGCGTATTGGCTGGTGCACCGGTGCCCTGTGAGTCTCTTCTTCCCTGGGTTCCCGACCTCTTCCCAGGCCTCCCCACGCCCTCCCTGCGCTCACCACAACTGTGGCGAGCTCCTTCCCTGTTGGGGTTTGAACTGGATCTGTAGAAGGAGCTGCTGAGCGTGGGCTCAGCATGCAGCGGGGAGAGGGCACCCGCACCTGGCTGGGTGTGCTCACCGCCCATCTGCTGTTAGGTAGCGAGGACCTGAGTGAGTTTGTCTTTTGTGAGAGCTTGGGACTGTTTTTACTGTTTTTGTTGAAGATACTGTATCTTGGGAAGGGACCAGAAGAAGAAAAAACAAAACAAAACAAAAAAAGAAAAACTAGACTCTAGATCCCAAAGCAGAAAAATAAAATGGAGTGTAAACAAGAGACTCTCCACGGCCAAAGCCATCTTGTGTCTCTGACTCCCTCTTTTCCTTCCATGGATCCAGTTCCCATTAGCTGAGCTGGGAGGAGGAGGAGAGAAGGAGTTGTGTTGGTGTGTGCTAAGCTTCTCGTTGCTTGGAGCACACTGTTTCTCTGGCTTTGGGCCTTTCAGTGGCGCAGAGAGACAAGCTGTCCATAGCTGATGATTCATCCTGGTCACCACTTGGAAATGGTAGCCTCTGACTGCCCCCTGCTGGGGTGAACTCTCTGCCTCAGTTTCCTCCTGTCTCATGTTCCTGTGCTGCCCCTGGATCATGGGAGGTGGGAGATGGGAAATTCTAGAAACTGAAGAGTTTGAAACAAATGTTTTCCTCTTTCAATGTCCTTGCCTGCTGTTTGGTGTCAGAACTTCTCAGAACCAGGGAGTGAGCCGGGTCAGGCTTGGTGCCTAAAGTTTTTTTTTTTTTTTTTGTACTGGGGATTGAACTTGGGACCTTGTGCTTTGAGGCAGGCAGCAGAACCATTGAGCTAAATCCCCAGTCCTGAAGTTGAAAACTTTTGAACTTCCATCCCATCCTATTTTGGCCCTTTTGCTTATTTTCTTTCTATATTTAAAACAGATTCTCTAGCTGGGCGTGGGGGCATAGGCCTGTAATCCCAGCACTAGGGAGGCTAAGGCAGGAGGATCGCCACAAGTTCAAGGCCAGCCTGGGCTCTGTAGTAGACTCAATGCCAGCCTGAACTGCATAGTGAGATCCTATCTCAAAACCAAACCAAACCAAACAAAAAAGCAAACTAAAACAGATTCTCTTTGAGGTATTACCTTTGTAGGGGCATGGGTTTGGAGGCTGTGTTGCTGAGGTTGATCCCCAGGCAGTTTTTTTTTTTTTTTTTTCTATTTGCAACAGGGATTCTTCCTGTAGGGAAACCAGTTTGCAGAGAGCCAGCACCAGTCTCTGGGGGCTGGGTGTGGGTGACAGAGCTCACAGTCCTGAGGAAACAGTGCAAAGGAGGTCTGTGTGTGAAATGCGTATGTCTCAGCAGTTCCAGAAGAAGCACATGTGGGTGAGGATACGGGAAATGGCAAGCATGCCATCCACTGGGCCAGGTTGACCTTGTGAGGACCAACTTTCCAGGTCATGGTGGGCTCCATGCCCCTTACCCAGAATAGAGTAAATGCAAACGTTCCTTTCTGAAAAATTCCATTCTATGTGGCAGTTTCTCTGTGCTTTGACAATTGCAGTTTCTCTGTGCTCCTGAACAATTCCATTGTATGTGGTAGTTTCCATTCTATGCTTCGGTTCCTCTTTTAGGGAATCTCCACCCTGCTTCTGTTCTTCTTTTTAAGACAAGCTTCTTTTTATAATTCAATTAATATAGAAATTAGTTATAGCTGATATAGGAATTAATTTAGTTATAGCTGATATAGAAATTAATCATAGTTAATAGAAAAGCTTCTTTTTGTATAATCTAATCAATATAGGAATTAATTATAGTGGATATAGATAGTTATATATTTTAGTGAGCAAAAGTCAGAAAAGAGGAATTAATTGTCTAATAAAGGCCTTAGGTAACTTTCCAATGTACCCTCCCAATACCCCATGATGATTTTGCAGATATAAGCATTAAGTATTGGAAGATAAGGGAAAACTAAAAATAGCAACAGAAAAATCCTATATAAACTCGGTTCAAAGTTAGATCTGGACTCTCAGTCTGAAGCCGCTGTGACGGTGACACCTGAGAGTCCAGGCTCGAGCTTGCAATAAACTCCTCTTGCAATTGCATCGGACCTGACTCCTTGGTGGTCTTTGGGGACTTCACGACTTGGACACAACAACCCCATGCCCAGTGGCGCCATGATCAAGGGCGCCCTGCTCCTAGCAGGGTGGAGAATGCTTCTATTGCTCGTGCAGAGTTGCCACAGTGTGAGAATGCCAATGTGACTGGTCTTCCTGGCAAAGTGACGTAGGCTGGTTTTGCATGTGATTTTCTCAGAGTCCCTTTCCTCTCTCTGTCCCTGCATTGAGGAAGCCCATAGGAAAGAAAATGAATAATAGATCACCAGATTCTCTCCAGTTCTCCTGGGGTAAGCTCTCAGGTCCTCCACTAGGCATCTGGCTGAGTGACTTCCCAGCGTGACAGAGGACACATTTATGACAGTTGTGTCTATGGCCATCTGCGCCCTCCTCCTCCTCTATCTCTGCCACCATGGCCTCAGTATGACCTGCACCTCCACCCCCTCGGTCCCCCACTGTATCCACCTCCACCTCCATGGAGCCCTCCCTTGTGGTCTCTCTGCCTTCTGCCTCTCGTGACAACGGCCATTAATACCTTAGTGCATTTCCATGTTTTTGTAACCTCTGCTGTCTCAACAAACAACGTGGGTTCATAGGCCCCTGGCCCCTCTTCGATGGCACGGAGGACCCACAATCGGAGCTGGGCTCCCGGCACACGGCACTGCTGTGCACATCTAGTCTACCTCACCGCTGCTCCCCTCAGTGGAAACCAGATCAGTGGCTCATGCCTGTAATCCCAGCTATTTGGGAGGAGGGCAGGAGAATCAGCTGGTCGAGGCCCACTCAGGCAACTTAGCAAGACCCTGTCTCAAAAATAAACTTTTTTTTTTTTTTTTTTTTTTGGTGGTACTGGGGATTGAACCCAGGACCTTGGAGCGAAGCTGCATCCCCAATCCCTTTTTATTTCTTTTAAAATTTTGAGACAGGGTCTTTCTAAGTTGATAAGTCACCCAGGCTGGGTTTGAACTTTTGATCCTCCTGCTTGAGCCTCCCAGAGTGGCTGGGATTACAAGTGTGTCCACCACCGCACCCTGCGTCAGAATAAAAAATTGGAAAAAGGACTGAGGGAGGAAGCTCAGGGGTAGAGTACTCCACAAGCATGTGTGACGCCCTTGTGTCAAGCTGTAGTACTGCAAAAAAAAAAAAAAAAAAAAAAAA